AAAGGCTTTTTGCTTTGAGTGCCATCACTATCTGTTCCACTTGCTCCTCCTCTGTCATCAGCACAAAAAACACAAATTTACCAGCTACTTTTTGTTCTGAAGGAGAGTCATACTGAACTCAAAACATTAACTCTGTTTTTCTCTCCACAGATGCTGCCAGACCTGCTGAGTTTCTCCAGTGTTTTCTGTTTTTTATTTAAGTTCAGATTTTTACCATCTGCATTACTTCGTTTATATTTACAATTAAAGGAAACTGGTTGGATACCGGGAAGAAATGGAAGTGGAGAATTATCCTGTTCAGTGTTAGAAGAGAATGATGGGAAGGGGTTTAACTGCAGCAGAAATAGACAGGTTGGGCTGTCTATACATCTCCAAATCTGTTAGGACTCGTAAGCGTTTCTTCCTGTCACATAAGTGAACATTTTGAAAACTGTCACAAAACAGCACAAAAAATATCAATAAACATCCTGCAGTTTGCCTAGTTAGGATTGTCATTGATGTCATTGAATCGTAGAATCCCTACAGTGTGGGCACAGGCCATTCAGCCCATCAAATCCACACCAACCCTCCGAAGAGCAGCACCCCCCAGGCCTACCTCCCTACCCTATCCCCGTAACTCGCATTTCCCATGGCCAATCCACCTAACCTGCACATGGTAGAACTTAGAAGTGTTTGTTTGTTCACTTCCATCCAGTTTGATCCTAGGATAAGCATTCAAATTCATTTCCTCTCCATCGCTAAGGCCAACTCTGTAACTTTGCTTTGTCTCTGACTGCTCCTCAGATGAGATGTTGCTGAAATCATGATTTAAGCTTAGAGTCATGATCATAGACTCATACACCCCAGAACAGGCCCTTCAGCCCAACGAGTCTGTACTAGTCTACACTAGTCACACTTTCCTGCACTAGACCCACAACATTGAATATTATGGTATTTCAAGTGCTCATCCAAGCACTTTTTAAAGTTGGGAGATTTCTCAACTACCACCCCCAAGGCAATGCATTCCAGATTCCCACTACCCTCTGATTTTCCTCAAAACCCCTCTAAATCTCCTGCCCTTCACCTTAAAATTATGCCACCCCTCTTGTTATTGACCCATCAACTAAGGGCAACAGCTGCTTCCTATCTATCCTGCCCGTGCCTCTCATAATCTTATAAAACTCTGTCTGGTCCCTCCTTCAACCTTTTCTGCTCGAACGAAAACAACCTGAGCTTAACCAGCCTCTCTTTATAACGACATTGTTCCAATCTAGGCAATATTCTGGTCAATGTCCTCTGCACCTTCTCCAGTGCAGTCACATCCTTCCTATAGCGTGGTGACCAGAACTGCACACAGTACTCCAGCTGTGGTCTACCCCAAAGTCCTGTACACCTCCAACATAAACTCCCTACTCTTATAATCAATGTTGCCTTCAGACTCAACAGTGACATTCCCTTCCTGACTAGCGTCCAAAAGCCCGCCCCCATGAATTGGAGTTCCCCAGAAACTCTGCTGCTTGTATTTTCACTCTTATGGGGTTCTGTGTTGGCTGAAAGCACTGGCTCTGATCAGCTTGACTTTAAAATTCCCACCCTTTAAAATTTTGTTCAAACTCCCCCATGGCCTTAATCTCTCCATATCTCTGTAAACTCCTAAAGATCCTCTCAAATATCTGCTCTACCCTGACATCTTGTGTATCTCAGCATTGTTAAAAATTCATTCAAAGAATGTGGCTAGGCCAGCATTTATTGCCTATCCCTAACTACACTTGAACTGATTGACTTGCTAGGCTGTTGGCCAGATCTTTGGAATTCTCTCCCTAAAATTTTCTGTTCTCTCCCTTTCTTTTTTATGATACTCCTGCAGGATAACACCTTTGATCTAGATTTAGTTATCCATGCTAAAGTGGCTGTGGTTAAAATTTTTCTAGATGCCCATTTTATGAAGCATCTTGGGATATTTTGTTTAGGCACTATACAAATGCAAGTTGTCATTATTAAAATAAAAGTGAAGCCCTAGCTATCTATGTTTGTGTTCTTACACACAACCTTTTGTAGTTAACACCCTCCATTAGTTTTCCTGCCATTCTGTTTCCCTGTCAACTGCACAGTGGGTATTAATTTGCTTTCTAATTTGATTTGATTTGATTTGATTTATTATTGTCTCATGTACCTGGGTACAGTGAAAAGTTTTGTTTTTCGTGCAGTATTGGCAGATTATGCCGTACAAAGTGCGTGAGGGTAATAGAACAGAGGGAGGATCACAATGTTACAGCCGCAGAGAAGGTTCAAAAATCGTGAGATCAGCATTAAATTTAAAATTTGAGAGATCTATTCAGAAGTCTAATAACAGCAGGGAAGAAACTGTTCTTGAATTTGTTGGTGCATGTGTTTAAGCTTTTGTTCTGTTCAACATACCTACTGTTTCGGAGTTTCAGAGTTCAGTTGCTGTCAATGGGAACTGAAAGAACTACGGATGCTGTAAATCAGGAACAAAAACAGAAGTTACTGGAAAAGCTCAGCAGGTCTGGCAGCATCTGTGAAGAAAAAATCAGAGTTAACATTTCGGGTCCGGTGACCCTTCCTCAGGACTTCTGAATTCCGACCCGAAATGTTAACTCTGATTTTTTCTTCACAGATGCTTTCAGACCTGCTGAGCTTTTCCAGCAACTTCTGTTTTTGTTGCTGTCAATGGGAGTTAGATTGACTCATAGGTCCATTGGGAAAGGGATTTGCCCACTGGAGTCTTCTTGAAAATCAGCATTTTACTTCCAGCAAAGTGTATTGTGATATGATTTGCTTTGTTGCTAGTGCGGTGGTCAAGCTTCCTGTAGTCCTAATTACTAGTGCATTCCAGGTATATGCTTACATGGACCAAGAGAGCAATGAGAAGAGATTTTTGGATGCACTTCACTATTCCACTCCAGTGTTTCAGCATCTCCATCAGCGTTATTCGTTTGTTCAATTTAATTGGATTGCGACTTTTCAGCAACATTGGACTGTCAGCCCTTGCCTTTTGGGATTACTTATTTGTTTGTCATATTTAAGCTACATCCATAAGATTTTGTAAGGGCATCTCTGACATCGAGCAGTTCTTTAGTGCTTTCAGTCTGTGACCCTGAGGGAAATGAAAGACATCTCAAGTCTATCTCTGATCTTCCCTGTGTAAGATTTCCATTCAGGCCATTTGATTTGGTTGCTTGTCCATTCAAAACTGAATTGTTCTGATTTAATTCCAAACCTTCACTACCTCCCTTCCAGCCTTTCTTATTTGTCTCTGTTTTGCTAGAGTTTGATTCATTCTTTCTAATCCCTCCCAAGTTCCAAGTATCAATTGTACAATACTCACTTTATTCGCTGCCCATTTTCATCACACCGAATCTGAGATGCATTGTTCGAAACCATTCTTGCTCAAGATCTTAGAACTCTTCATTTGTTTAAGTGTCAGCTATGGCTCAGGTAGTTGCATGTGGAATTAAAAGGTTGTGGGCTCAGGTCATTGCTCTAGAGTTTAGAGAATGTCATCCAAGTGGCCACTGTGGACCAACACAAAGATGCTGCTTTTCAGGCAAAATGTTAAATCAAGACCCTGTCTTCTCTCTTAGCAAAAGATAGTCCAGCACAAAATTGAAGGCAATTCATGAAGTTGTCCTGGGCCAATGTTTATCCCTGAGCCAGCATTATCAAGAAAAAACATTTCCTTGTCAATTATCATGTTGCTACTTGTGGGAACGTGTTATGTAGAATATTGGAAGCAGCATTTGACACATTACAAATAGAAGCACACTTCAAAATATGGAAAGTGATTTGGGTCATCCAAAGGTTGTAAATGGTGTTGTGTAAATACCAGCCTTTCTGCTTTCCCTAACCTTCTGTATTTAAGATACAGGTTTAGCATCACCTAACCACCCCTACTTAATTCATAGTGTCTTCTCCCCTATTTCTCCCAGTCTTGGTGAGGCCCCATACCATGGGGCCTTTATAATGCGCAGCAATAAGGGTCATCATGATGTCCCACACCATGAGTCTTCATGATGCCCTATATCATTAATCTTCATGATATCCCACACCATGAGTCTACATGATCTCTTCACACCATGGGTCTTCATAATGCCCCAGCCATGAGTCTTCATGACACTGTATTCCATGGGTCTTCCTGATGCTCTCACACCTTGGATTGTGTCCGAGGTTTCTGAACATTGTATGTATATGGTCTTGACTAGTCATCTTGATAGAGGCAGCCAAAAAAATTATTAAAGCTGGCACTATTTTGTCAAGTTGAATGGAAATGGAGAAGGGAAGGGTGAAATAGTAACATCATTTCTAGAACATTGACAATTCACTAAAGCCCTAACCTCTCATCCCTGTGTACATCTAGAATGAGTTAAGTGGGGAGTACCAATTCCATCTTTCTTAAAGAAATTTCCATTCAAAAACCAGACTACTTTAATTGTAGGCAAATGTTGGGAGATCCATGCATTCACCACTAGTTATTTTTAACAGGTCAAACTAACCTTTGCTCTTAACTGGATACTGTTAGAATGTTTTACACTTCCATTGATAGTGTAGCTGTGTGATAGGTAGAGTTCCTACTCCTGATTTCTGTCTGTGCTGTTGTTGATCATTTTAACTAGAAGGATCATTGTTTGATAAACATGGATGTTTAGAGAAATCCTTGACTTTTTTTCTTGTGCTTTTAAAATTCTTAATGCTCAATTGTCTTTTTTTTTGGAAAGGATCTTGTGCTGAAAAAGACCAATTCTTGCTGTTGAACTTCTTGACCCTTGGTCCATTTTGTTACCTCCTATTTTTGAGATTAAACTATTGTTTTACGATGTCTAAGCCTTGCAGCAGCCCAGGCTTTTATGATAATACTTTAACATACTGAGAATTTTTTTTCCAGAAGATCTTTTTTTTTCTTTCTCTTTAAATAATTGTTCACTTTTTTGGCAAAAAACCTTTGCTGTTTTTTTGAATTCTCTTTTTCCCTTTGTTCTCCTCATCTTTTTTCTTGAACCTAGGAGCCAACACAAAGAAACACGCTGATGATATAACCAGTAATCATGGTGATGAAGATGAAGGTATTTTTTTTGTGCTCGACCCCCTCCCCACACACACACCCCCCTGATGCATGAGAACCAACCTTTCGAAGTCTTCCAATCCATTTTTTTTTCTTTCTTTCTTTAAGTAAGCCATGCACCTTCCGTGTGCATCCTGAGGGTTTTCTTTTTCCTCTTTTTCTTCATCTTGAATGCTGACTTGCTTCACAGACTGGGAGAGCTGGGGGTCAGAGGATTTGGGTGGAGGGGTGAGTGGTGTTGTGGGGAAAATGGCAGGGGGGGATTAATTGAATGGGACTTCTTTACATCAGATCGTATGCTTTGCCTCCCCAGGGACTCCCCCCCCCCCCCCCCCCCTTTCAGACACTTGACCTTACTCTGTGGTGGGCCTTTAAGACCCCTGCCCCACCCTCTTGCTGTGGTACTCACCGCTCTGAGCCTGGACAAGAAGTGCCAATGGGCCAACTTGCTATTTGGGACACATGGTTCGCCCCTTTGCCAGTGTTCGGCAAATGTTTCATTTCCAGAAAGGCATCACCCACGTAGAGGGGACCCTTGGCCAAAGGAGATGTTTTCCCTCCTTAGTTTGAGATGTTAATGGCAGACGGACCCCTTACGGACACCCTGCAGCTTTCCCAGATTACAGTGGGGTGGAGAATAAGATGGTGGGAGATCGGGCTCAGACCTGGCATCGTCCTGGCCTGTGGTCTCAGCCCCATCCACATTGAGCAGCAGATTTACCAGTTGAGCCATGTGGGGTAGACCTCTGTGGGATGTGGTTTTCTGTATCCTCCGCCTACTGAATTGAGGTCTGTGGTGGACCAGTTTGTCGATTACTCCATTCATTACCGCAGAAAGACACGGATCAAATCTCGGCAGAAACGATGCTTAATGCATGAGCCAAACCTTGATCTTCCACATGTTAGAAAGTGCAACATTCCGTCTTATTGGAAGAATGGTCAAGGATTGTTTCACGTTCCATCAAAATTTAGTGACATGTACGTAGCCCTGACCATATTAGCTCATAAAGAATGCTGTGAATCCATTGAGCATTAGCAGATTGATCCTAATCCTGTTAAACCCACCACATATCATCACAAAAGGTGTGTGTGTGTGTGAGAGAGAGAAGAGAGAATGTTTGTGTGTGTGAGTGAGAGAGTGTGTGTGTGTGTGTGAGAGAGAGAGAGTGTGTGTGTGTGTGTATGAGTGTACGCTTGATAGTGTGTGTTATGTAGGTTTGTGCGTAGGTGTATATATTCCTGTGTGTATGTAAATGTATGTCTCTTGTATCTGTAAGAGTATGCCTGTGCGTGCAAGAGTATGTCTGTGTGTGTGTAAGCGTATATCTGTGTGTGTAAGAGTATGCCTGAGTGTAAGTATATGTTTGTGTGTGTATAAGCGTATATCTGTGTGTGTAAGAATATCAGTGTGTGTGTAAGTGTATGTTTGTGTGCATATAAGCATATATCTGTGTGTGTAAGAGTATCTGTGTGTGTAAGTGTATGTTTGTGTGCGTATAAGTGTATATCTGTGTGGGTAAGAGTATGCCTGTGTGTGTGTATGTTTGTGTGCGTATAAGTGTATATCTGTGTGTATAAGAGTATGCCTATGTGTAAGTGTATGTTTGTGTGTGTATAAGTGTATATCTGTGTATGTAAGAGTATGCCTGTGTGTAAGTGTATATTTGTGTGCGTATAAGTGTATATCTGTGTGTGTAAGAGTATGCCTGTGTGTGTGTGCTGCTGTATCAGTGTATATCGGTCTGTGTGTGTTTGAACGTCTAAGAGCATCCCTGTTTGTGTCTGTGCAAGAGTGTGTCTGTGTGCTCATGTGCTTTTATATTGTGTATGCACGTGTACGTTTTGATGACTCTATGTATCTGAGGACGAACATTTTTATTTTCTTACAGATATCCATGACAATGGTCCCAAACCAGTAATGGTGTATATTCACGGAGGCTCCTACATGGAAAGCACCGGCAACTTAATTGATGGAAGCATCCTGGCAAGTTATGGAAATGTTATTGTTGTCACACTCAACTACAGGCTCGGGGTTTTAGGTGAGTCACTGGGTCAGTTTCAATACTTTGTGAATGATGAAGCTGATAATGTATGGCTTTTGGATGACTGTTTATTACCACTTTAGGGTTTGACTCTTCAGAGACCTACAACTCCTACAAACTTTAGGTTCCCCTACCAAGACGAATCAAGTTCCCAGTCCAACATGGTTCCATTGTTCAACCTTGTGGCTGTGAACACAGGGTGTGCTGGCACTCGTTCAGGGTTGGAAAACTGATTCCTGGGCACCTGCCAATACCATTTAGCAGTCACCTGCTGCGAGGAATGTCCCGTTCATTCATTCTTCTCATGAGATGAAATGGGGAAACACTGAACGGAGCCGGTGTCTTTAAATGTATTCTTCCATCCCACGATACTGCAGACTGGTGTTTTAATTTTCTGCCATGCCAATGCCCTGCCTTCAGAACATTGTGTGGGTGAGAACGAATCAGTTTCTCCGGTTGGGATGTGCTGTTGCGGTATGGTGATGTTTTGCGTTGGTTTCACTGATGTAACACATGAAGGTGTAGATTCACCTCACATGTTTCTCCTGTTTGAGGAGTCCTAAACCAGGGGCTCATCATAGTTTAAATAAAAAGAGGGGGGATGCCACTCAGATCTGAGATATGGAGAATGTTGTTTTACTCAGAGGATTGTGAAACTTTGGAATTCTCCATCACTGAGGGCTGTGTGGTGCAGCCTTTGAACGTCTCATTGTCAATGGTGTACAGGGCTATGGGAATGTGGTGAGTAAAAGGCGTTGAAGTGTTCAATCAGCTCCGATCATATTGAATGGCACAGCAGGCTGGATGGATTGAACTACCTGTGTCTGTTTCTATGTTCCTGGGTTTTTTTTTTTCTGTTTGCCTGTTTCAGATTTCTGAAAAAGGAAAATATGTTGTCAAAACTTTAAATCATGTATTCATTGGGACATGTGCAAGAATTTTGATTTAATTTGATTTATTATTGTCACATGTACCAAAATATTGTGAAAAGTGTTGTTTTACTTGCTCTACGGGCAGATCATAGCATACAAAGTGCATCAGCATAACAGAACAGAGTGCAGAATACAGTGTTATAGCCGCAGAGAAGGTGCAGAGTGAGAGATTAACATGAGCATTTGAGAGGTCTGTTCAAAAGTCTGTTAGCAGCAGGGAAGAAGCTGTTCTTAAATCTGTTTGTAAGTGTATTCAAACTTTTATATCTTCTGCTCAACAGGAGAAAGTGTAAGCAGGGTGGAGGGGTCTTTGATGATGTTGGTTGCTTTCCCAAGGCAGTGGGAAGTATAGATGGGGTCAATGGTGGAAGGCTGTTTTGCCTGATGGACTGGGCTGTGTTCACAACTCTGTAATTTCTTGCTGTCTTGGGAAAAGCAGTTGCCATATTACATTGTGATGCATTCAGATAGGATGCTTTCTATGGTGCATCTATTAAAATTAGAGGTCTTGTGGATATGCTCAATTTCCTTCGCCTCCTGGGGAAGTAGAGATGTTGTGATTTTTTTGACTGTAGTGCCGATATGGGTGGATCAGGACATATCGTTGGTGATCATCAAGCTCAGGTGCCTGACTCTCTCGACCACCTCCACCTTAGCACCATTGATGTAGACAGGGGCATGCCCTCCGCCATGCTTCCTGAAGTCAATGACCAGCCCCTTTGTTTTGTTGACATTGATAAAGAATGCCAACTATCAAATGATTATGACAATTTACCCTGCAGGAGAAATGGATGCTGATTGGCTGGCAACTCAATTTTGTTTGGGAAAGAGCCAGGGAACTATTGGATTCCGAAAAACTCCTGGGTAATCCTGAAAAAAAGGCTCAAGGCTTGACCATATTCCTTTCGTATTCAGAGGTTGGGTCTTTGTGAATAAATTCATGTTGCTTCTAGTAAGCTCAATTGAGCTGTGTACTGAGCTTGGCTTGCCAACCAGTCAACACCCTTTTGCCCTGTTGCATAAATTGTTGTGAACGTTTGCAATTAGGCATTCTTGCATTTGTCCTGACAAGAGCAAGATGAAAAGCATTGAGCCGTCACTCTTTTCAGCAATATTCAAATTGGAGAAAATGAGGTAACATTTTCTCTAGGAAGAAAAAGGCAGAATGAACACTAATGGTTGACATTGACTGGTGTAGCAAAACTAACGATAGAAAATCAGAAGTTCCTTTAGCCTTTCTTCCCTGACCCCGTCCCATTGATATCAAGTGAAGAAATTCTTTATACTATCCATCAATTCACTCTTTCCTGCACTGACCTATTCTCAAAGCATATGTACCTCTGAAAAATCTTACATATATGTAGTGTGTCAGTACCAAATAATCACTGTGCTCCCACCAAACTCACCACACTGCTTTTTTAAAATCTAAATTCTCTGACTTGAGCTGAAAAAGGATATTCTTAGATGCAGAGACCAGCCAATTGGAGTTTATTCAACTGCGGCTTGAGGAGAATCTGAAAAACCACTGAAATACTGAAAAGCCACAAGATGTGAAAGGAAGGCTGGCTGTGATCTACTCATCTCTAAGAAAACATGTTATGAAATTTAAAGAGTACAGTCTCACAACCAGAGAATAAGAAACCTTCTGGTCTTTCTCTACACTGACAGACAAAATGATTCTATAAAAAGCCACCTTCTGTATCCTATTCCAAGAAAACCAGAAGCACTTTTATTTTTTCACTGAGAGGGAGAAAAAGACCATGTCTCTAAATCAAAAGCTCTATGCTCAAGCTCCAGGTCCCAAGTCCATTCATAACATGGGCAAACAGGTTGATCGCCAAACTGCAAATCTCTCCAGTGCACCAATGGCAGGTGGTAAGAATGGGAGAGTCTCCTGGTCAGGAATTCTTCATTCACAGCCACAGCGTCTAACAAAAAGGCTGGTGTCCTGTTCTGGAATAAATTAGCTGTGGAAGCAGAGATAAGCACATCCTTTGATTGCCTCATGCATCACTAGAAACAGGAAAGCCTCAAAGTCTACATTTTTCCCATGATACTGAGGCATTGCCAGATACATTGTGCTCGGACAAATTCTAATGTATCCCAGTGTGTCTTTGCAGAATTGTACATGTGAATTATCATTGCCAAAGGAAAGATGTTAGAACTAGACAGAGGTGATGGCAATAAAAGGTCCTTCTTAATCTTTTTACATTTCCTCTCAGATTAATGTTGACTGTGGCTTTATCGGCTGAGATATGTTTATGGTTAATTGTCTACTCCTGGCTGAAAGGGGTCATATCATCACATGTGCTCACTCCCAGCAATGTTCCTTCCATATCACCTTCTTTCAAAATCCACAAGACAGAGCTAAAACAACTTCATTTAAAAAAAAAATTCACTTGTGGGACCCGAGAACCGGCGCTGGGCCAGCATTTATTGCCCGTCCCTAGTTGCCCTTGAGAAGGTGGCATTGAGCTGCTTTCTTGAGCCCCAGTGCTGTAGGTAGCAATGCTGTAAAGGGGCGAATGTAAGGATTTTGACCCAACGACACTGAAGGTATGTTTCCAAGTCAGGATATGGAGTGGTCACTTCTTCTGGTGGTGCCCCTTCTCTTAGCTGTTAAGTCAAGGATGGATGGGAATATTACATATCACCAATGTCACTATTGTGATATACCACATAGTGGAGTTTGGCGTTTGCTGGGAAGAGACAGAAAGCATTTGACTGTAGAATAGAAAATCCTGATGGACACGAGCAGCTTTGATTTTAGATCTGAGAACCAGCTCATGCTTGGGTTGAGCTTTGATTCACTTTGATGAGTCCCTACCTTTGATTGTCATCTATAATATGGCTTTGTAACTACCTGCAGGCTGAAGTATCAAAGAACCATGTCACAATCCTGATTATCAGTGTCTTGGTGCATCAAGGAGTTGATGTTGGATGATTAATGTTGGTTCTTTATGCCTATGCAGATCATAACTTAATTCCTACTTGCATGTTTCTCTGTGCTTTCAATGATATGCTGCGCAGCACTCAATGAAAGAGAAAGAAATTTATCCGTGTTGAAATTGAAGTGCCGTTGTCCTTCACTTGATGGTGTGACTTTGCATGGGATCATAAGAAATAAAAACCACAAACAGGATAAGGCCTTTTGGCCCTTTGAACCTACTCTGTCATGCAGTAATGTCAGGGCAACCTGGCTTGGCTGGATGGTTGAGTTGGGGATCATGGGATCATGCCATGGCCACAGGCTGTTAGCACTTGCAAGGTGATACTGGAGCTTCCAGGGCTGTTGGAGACTTACTCCAGCCCAACTTTACAGCTAGAGGTCAGTGCTGGAACCATGAGTTAAATCAGATGAGCAAGAAGGCTGCTGGTAACCTCATACCTTCATGTGAGTGTGGAATAGATACAGAAAGACATGGAGAAGGACATTTCGCCTCTCGAGCTTGATCCTCCAATCTTTGAGATAATCAACAATCTATGACCTAACTTCACAGTGAAAACTTTAACCACTTTAAATAAAAACTTTAAATATATTTGGCTAAAGAATATTTTCATCTGAGATAACAAGGTGTAGAGCTGGATGAACACGGCAGGCCAAGCAGCATCAGAGGAGCAGGAAAGCTATACCTTGTTATCTCAGATTCTCCAGCATCTGCAGTTCCTACTATCTCTGAAACAATATTTTCATCTCTAATGTAAGATGAATAATGTATCCATCATTAATTGTTGAATTAGAAAAGAATTGTAAACTTCTTACCATCCTTTGTGAAGAAAATGTTCCCAATTGTATTCCTGAAAAGTCTGGCTCTAATATTTTGACTATACCCACCCCCGCCAAAACTCATGATTAGTGAACATACTTTTTCACAATGTATCTTCACTGTTTGCCTTAATGTCTTGATAACTTTGATGGATTCACTTCTAAATTTTCCAACTTCTGGGGCATTCAAGGCTATTGTTTACAAAGTGTGGATATTGATCTCGTAAATCTATGTCGCACTCCCTTCTCATCAATGTAGCTTTTCTAAGGTGTGGTGCCTGAAATTTCTCTAACTGTGA